CTCGTTCAGTTTCAATCGTGGATAGCCGAATCCTCACCTTTCCAATTCGTGAATCGTTTCCCCCTCCTTGGTGAGACATTATCAAACACCCCTACTGTGATCACAGTACATGGATCAAAAACCTCCCACGTGTACTGCTCGTCCATTTTGGAGAGAAGCTGTCGATAATTGTCCTCGTTCGAACCCATTTTGGCCCATATTTTGCTACGCAATAGGCGTCTGTTGTTCCCCGGCCTTCTTTTGACTTCATTGGAGATAACCCAGTGGCGCTAATAATCCCCAACTCCAGAAGCCCAATGCTGGACTTCCACAACTGCTTTGCAGTTGGCCTAAGATCACTACTGTAGTGTGTAGACTCTTCCAATACATGATACCCTCCATCCAAACAGATCCTCAGATGAATCCTACTAGCAAATTTAATCTCCTTCTTTTCCCCTTCAGCAAGAATATGTTTCTCGAGATTATGCCACCGAGATGGCACAGCCTTATTGTCAAACCTCCTGTGTGCAATTGGTAATGCAATCACACACTTCCCCAAGACCTCATCTTTGTTGGATCTATCCTCCACAGTTATGACCAGGGGCTCCTCAAATGGTTCGGCAGCAACAAAAACCAAATCCTCATTCCACATTGGATTGACACTCTTCAACAGTTTAGTTTTCACTGCCTGATTGCCAAGTATAACCTTCACACAAACTTCTGGGACTTTGTTCTTATCACTAGGAATCAGATCCTGACATTCGATTACATTGACCCTAACATACCAAAGCCTTGGGATATGTATACTTTCCCTCAATTCTTGTAATGCCCTCAGTACTAACTGCTGCAGCGTCTGAATGCCATGCATCAGGAAATGCCTCATCGGCTTGGGTTCCTTTCCAAACAGCAAGCATGATTTCTCCTTTTTTGATCTTATCCCCCTTTTTGTCTTCCAATCTGTACCACTGTGGTGCCAATGGGCTATCCGGTGGGACTCGTCTCGGGACATCAACAAGGCCAAAAGAAATCTTGCCAATGAAATCATCTAAGACAACGTCCTTATCCTTTATCACAACTTCAATAAAGGAAGCTTGAAGTCGATCCTGGGAGAAAGCGAAAACATGATTCCATTCAGGATTCGACTTCTTTTCAAAATGCCGAGTAACTCCCTTGTAGTTTCCTAGCTTCACTTCAACATATGGATCACAACTACCTGTAACGTCCTTCGCCGGTAAATCCCTTGCTTTAACAACACGGACATAAAGGTATTCCATCTGCTCAACGAGGTCATATGTGCACGTAAGCTTATCACCACCAGTGATCACCCCTGACCCGGCAATTTTTGGGGCAGTCTCCTTCAGAGCAAACTCTTCCGGTTGTGGAGGACGCGCCATTTTGTAGTTTGCACTAACCAAAGTAAATGGAATGGCTCGATTTGTTTCTAACACTCAAACACTACTGAGGAATCAATGCTGCAAAACAAGATGGATTAGTTACAACACTCTTCCCACTTTATATGCATCAATTTCCGATAGAGCTGTGAAGATGAAAAGGTCGAAATAACAAAAAAAAAAGAAGCCCCTTTACTTTCAGGCCTTTTTTGCTGCAACTAGACTTGAAATCACTATTTGGAAGTAGAATCTTATCTGAAGCATAGGCAAAGAAACCAATTTAAGTTAGGTTTTCTGTGAAAGCAAATCAAACTTTTAAATATATGCAAAACAGAAACTTACTGGTGTTTTATGGAGATACTCTGATGTTTTGAATGGATTAAACACAAAGTTTGTAAATTAAAATTTATCAAAGAAGTTGCTAACACAAACACATGGGAGCAGAGGAATACATATACTAGGACGATATGAAGTTAAAATGGCGAACATAGACGTCAACCCAAGGGGAAAGAACTTCATTAGTTTGCATATATAGCTTTGGGCAAAGTAACATTAGGCACCCTTGTAAAATATATTCAGTCAAAAGCACAAGAACCTGCAAAATTCATAGTAATTAGGGTGTTTACCCTACCCTACGGATAGGAAATATAGTTTTTCGTTTTCCTACCTGATATTTTGCGGAAGAATTTTTTTCTTGGCCTACCCTACCCGATCAGGTGTGGTAGGAAATCGGGTAAACACTTTGGAGTTATTAATTTTTGGATCATTTTAACAATTCAATTAAATAACATGCACCAATTTAATAACACAATAAATCAATAACACTAACACCTAAAACAACTACAACAATAATTACAATAAAACATAAGAAAACATAAACATCAATCCATCATAATTGTTACACAAATACAACAATAATTATTGTAAGTTTAAACAATATGAAGTACATTAAAATCATAACTGCTCTAATAGATCACTAGTTCATCACAAATCATGTAAACCTACACAAAAAACAAATCCATGTTTTCACAACTCAAAGATCCACAATAATAACAATGTTATAATATAAATTATATCACACAAATACTGTTATAATTACTAAAAAAAATATAAAAAAATTAAATATATTTTTTGCTGGTAGGGTAGGATAGGAATGCGAAAATTGATAGATATTCTGCATTCCTACCCGATTTAATCGGAGACCAAAAATTCTTCCGTATTCCTACCCGATTTTTGCGGATAATCGTTCAATAGGGTAGGATAAGATAGAAAATTACGGCCAATCGAAAACTTGAACACCCCTAATAGGAAATGAAAGAATAAGTCCAAGCAATAATTACAGCTCTTCCTCTGTTTGGTTGCAGAGGAAACAAGGGGAAATTGAAGGAAATACAATTTTGGTCTTACTGTTTGATCAGTGATTTGGAAAGACAAGAAAATGCATATAGTTTTTGCCTTTTGAGAGCAAACACAAAATTCAAGACTTAGTTTGTACCAAGAAAAGTAATTCAGAAATGGCTAACAAATTTTCTGCTTTGGTCACTCTTTGATCAGTGTTTTGGAAGTGAGTAAATAAACTTTCATGGCCTTAAATAGCAAAAACAAAGCATATTTGGTAGTTTTAGAGCAAGAAAAAGTACTACAAACATTTTTAGGAATAGCGGGTCAACAATTTTCTGTTCTTAATGCATTCAATAACTGCAAAACTCAGCTCAACGAAGGCCAATGAAAATCAAGACAGAAGTACAGTTTTCTCAGAAACCACTATGTGACTTATTGAATGAACAATTCATTCGAGAGAAAAAACACGGAGACACTGAAAAAACACTCACTGCAGAGTAAAAAAAAAAAATACAGATCTAGATGCAACAAAAGCTTTCAATATGTAAACAACTGAAGACAGTGGAAGCTCAAAGTTAAAATCAAACTTAGAAGTTCAAGGCTAGATAGAAACCTCAACGCGTTGTTATCCTTACATGCAGTGAAAATACTCCCAGTTGGGTGCGTGTGTGTCTGAGAGAGAGAGAGAGAGAGAGAGAGAGAGGAGGAGGAGGAGGAGGAGGAGGAAGAGGAAGGTGAGGAACTGACGACTTACCTTGGGTACTGATGAAAGCAGAGTTGGTTTCAGTTGCACCAAACAGTGGAATAACTACGACAGTGGACTTGTTTGAATGAGAAATGGAATAAAGAAAAAATGCAGGGGCTAAACTGGGGAGTGGGGAATAATACATATATATGGCTTAGTCCAACGTAACTAGAAGATGTATGTGTGGAATAATAAATGGACATAAAATTTTGGTTTTCATTGTGCAAATCGTTTTGAAATGTATTACCTGTTAAGGTTTGTCACTTAATTATTTAGACTATCTGATATTTAAAATATTATACACAGACTTATTGAAATTTGTACGTGTGTAATACCTAAACCTCTGCCTCCAATGTTCGTTAATATATCTATAAATAAATTATACCTAAACCATCTAAAATTTGTAGGAGTGTAACACTTAGACATTTTAAGTTTAAAATATTATACTTAGATCTCTCATTAATTACAAAACTAACGAAATTTGTTAAATGACTAAATTACCCTAACTAAAGATAGAAGATATTGTGTCTATTACAGTTTGATCACTTATTTAATTTTTTAAATTTTATTTCAATAGATAATATAATTGTATGAAAATGAGTGTTGAATTGAGTTCTTTGTTATATTTATACTTATTACTATTTTTTCTCAAAAAATTGAGATTTTGTTTGGATTTTCTGTCAATGGATGATATAATAAAACATGTAAATGTGTTAATTAGACTTATTACATATATGATTGTACTTGATGATGAAAAAATTGACCCAACATAAAAAGTTCATTTAATCCAAAATGCTACAGGTATGTCATTATTAGCTTCTAAACACAATTCATGCAATTAAGTCACTTACTAACTTAGGCATCGGGGAGTAAACTTATCCAGAGCTCTCCTCCGATCTCTGACTTCTTTTTCAGGTGATCAAATTTTAACAAACTAACATGGAGGTCATTCAAATTTTGACATCAATAATGTTAATTATGATTTTCTAACAAAAAAAAATTTTTATTTTTAATTTTATTTTAATAAATGATGTAATAGAACATGAATTTTGGTTGTACTATTTTAAATATTTGACATTCTATTTTTAGTTGGAGTATTTTTAATCGAAGTATAATATTTGACATTCTATCTTTCCTTTCTTTTTAACTATCTATTCGCTACTATTTTATTCTTGCCACCACCATCACGATGATAGTGATGACAACAACACAATGGTGGTGGTGGTGGCATAATGGTGGTAGTAGTGGCTGCGACAGTGGTGGTGGTGGTGGCAATAGCAACGATGATGGCACCATGGTAGTTGTGGTGGTGACAACACAAATGATGATGGCGATAACATAATAGTGGTGAAGTGCTTAAAATTTTAGCATATTTATAAGTGTTTAAAATATTAAGTTGTATGAGTTTTAGGTTATCAAATGAGTTTAATTCATTAAGTGTTTAAAGTATTTAGTTTTAAGCTTTATTATCAAACAACCTCTATTTTTTATGTTTTTTGAAACAACACTTCTGAAATTTAGAAAATATCACCACTATGTCCACCACACCACCACACTTCCACCACTATTCATCACCCACCACCATTCTTCCACCAACACCACCACCACACTCCCACACTATCACCACGATGTCAACCACACCACCACTATCACAATTCCACCACCACACTTCCATCACCACTTTCACTACCACATTTACACCACACTTGCACCTTGACTACATTTCTTTCACCACCACCACCATATTTATGTTTTAATTATTTTTTGAGTTATTATCCAAACAAGTTTTACTGTTTTTTATTTCATAATTGTATTTAGAATCATATAACCAAAAAAGTTCTGCGACACAAAAACAGTTTTCTAATTTTTTTTTTTAAACATAGTTTTCGGATACTATTTTTTGAGACGCAAACCAAACAGGATCTCATATTCACAAAATTTTATGGTCTTACTATATGCTCTTTTAACGTATGATAGTAGAAAATATTTAAGAAATATTTATGTGTCTTCAAAGGTGTATGCATTTTTCTTTATTTGTTATAGTATATGTAAATTTGAGATGAAAAGACAAAAGACTAAAATGCATTGTTTTTTCCTAAAGATGCACTTTAATATCATAAGCATATGTGTATGATGTGTATTCGAGGCATACCCTTGAATATCTGATGAATATTGTACCTAATATTTTATGCAATACAACTACAATGAAATTAACAAAGTATTTCTATTTCATAAACTAACCTTAGTCTAATATTATTGATTGCAGTGGCTTTCAAGGATAATAAAACAGAGTTCTTAAATCTACTGGAAGTTTCATTTGACTATCGAGCTTTACCCTGGAATTGATGAATACAATTCTAAACTGACAAGCCAATGCAAAATACAATAGAATATTGTTGATTGCAGTGGCTTTCAAGGGTAATAAAACAGAGTTCTTAAATCTACTGGAAGTTTCATTTGACTATCGAGCTTTACCCTGGAATTGATTAATACAATTCTAAACTTACAAGCCAATGCAAAATACAATAGAATATTGTTACTTGTAATTTGTGGGTAGAACTTTACCTTAATCAACTGATTTTATCGAGAAAGATTACTTTTTTTAGGTTAAGAGGTTGATAGTGAAATATCGAATCATCTTATTGGTCTTATGTTTGTGATATTCAATCTTTTTACTATTTGTAAATTTGATATTTATTGCACAAACTAATAAAACTTATATTTGTGCTCAGTTGCATAAAAATGTATTTTTTTTCGTAAAGATGTGTATAGATTAATTTTATATAATAGGACTCAAAGATGTTTTTGTCTTTTTTTTGGTAAAATATTTTGAGTTAATTGTACGTTAACCCTCTCAACTATGCCTTTGAACGCATTTTTGCCCCTTGAACTATTGAATTTCTCGCATTTTCTCCCAATAACTTGAGTTGGTTTTTCAATGTTTGCTATCATCTGGACAATAAATGTCCAAGAGACGAGACAAAAATAAAGCAAAATCACGTAAGTTCAATACAAAACTAATAACTATAATTGAAGGTACAATTGAAAAACATTATAATTGAGGTGGGAATGTGAGACGGAAACTATAGTTGAGGCTGAAAGTGTAATATGCACTCATTTATTTTTGTTAGTCAAAACTTCAAAAAAAAAAAAAAAAAACATTACCAAACGGCATATAAGATTTTTACTTTATGATTTGCCTTCTCCAATTTAGTGATTGGATGTATCTCACTTCTATTGACCATCTCCATTCCTTATTTAAACTCTTACTCAAATTTAAATTTAAGTAAAAACATATTAAAAAAAAGTTTCAATCTTTGTCTCAAACATATACCAAGCGAAGAGAGACTCAATTTTTTACTCAAATCAAAACAGACTCATATATTTATTCAAAATGGTCAGATTTTACTCTTTTAAAAAATCTAATGATCATATTTCACCTTCTTTAAAATTTGAATTTGTCCTACTTTAAATTTAAGTTTGTTCTACTTTAAATTTGAGTTTGTTTGTTACAAAAGTCTTTATCAAATCAAGTTCTTAACTAATTTTTTTACTCAAATTTGAGCTTGAGTTTAAATCAACATTGGAGATGCCCCAAGTTCTGCATTAGATATATATGTGAAGGGGAACTTTATACCTTAACCTCTTTGCATGGTTGGATGACAACCTTGTTAGGTTGGTTTTTAATGCTATATTCTCCGATCTCCCATACTGCCAACATGAGTAATGCTACATGAATTTAAAAATTAAATTTAATAATCATAACCATTAAATAAATAATAAGTCTCAATAAAAACTGAGACCCAGAGGTTCTGATTATTAAATTTAATTTTTAAATTTATATAACATTATTCTTGCCAACATAGTCTCTTTCACTACCGAAGCAAGTTAAGAAGGGACCAATGACCAATATTTTGTATTTCGCACAGCATTGGGACCAAGAAATTCTATGAAATTGCAATTTGCTTGATTGGGCCATCAAACTGCCAACAACTATTTTTTTCTTGCCTTTTTTGCCCCTCAATTCTCGCCTCCTTATAATTTGAGAGAAAAATCTAGACAAAGGTTAGGAACAATTTCGTTATGTATTTTTTTTTTCAAATAATTCCTTTTTTTGTGCTTTTTAAGTAGCACTTATTTTTATTATATATTTTTTAATTTTTTCTTATCCGAGCTTGCTCCCTTCTCCTCACATAGTCACATATATAGATCACATAGTCACACATATCCATGAATATGAGTGTATCATTTATATACTAAGATGTATTTAGATCACTTTTGTATAATTTTAATTAAATATGCTTTTCCTTTTTCAGAGAAAATGTTTTTTTTTTTGCTCTTAAAAAATACTTTAAAAAAAATGATACCAAAGGATACAACTAATCTAACAAAACAACCCAAATGAGAAGACTTCAGTGGTTTAATGCTTCTCAGTTGTAATTTTAAGTATCAGTTTGACTAATACATATAATTTATAAATGATTACACGCATACAAAATTTAAGAACAGCTATACAAAAGTTGGGATAGGGGTAATCGATTTCTTATGGTAAGGATTTAAACGTCCAGTGCTTTTCAAGATTGGTTGCTTTCATGGGACCAAAATCAACAACTAGACTCAATCAATAACGTGATGTATTTATCTCTCATAAATTTTGTTCATGTTCTGGTGGAAAATGCAAACCCACATGTCCCAAGTCCTTGAAAGAACAGTTGAGAAAATAATGAGAGAGAATTGATGTTAGGTGTGGTTGTTGGTATGTGAAAGAGTCATGTAATTTCTTCCTATCCACGCACGACTCTCACCATCTTGTCTTCTTCTAGCTCAAGTGGTTGCTTTGAAAGAGACTCTGTCATCAATCACCATGCAAAAAAGTTGAAATGATCAAGTATGATTAGTGTAATTGATGGGGTTAAACCTCATGATTATACGTGATATGACATTAAATGTGTTCACCGAATGTTTACAAGATAAGACACATGATGAAGAATTCTTTATTAAGTCTTTTAACCAAGTCGAGCTAATTAAAGGTTCGACAATGACAGAAAAAGTTCGGTTCTCTTTATGACCGAGCTCACCAATTTGTTCAGCTAAGCAAGGAAAGAGTTCTACTTGTACCAAACCGAGTTCACTAAGGTGTTCGGGAAAATGATAGAAGAGAATGGTTTGTACCAAACCAAGTCCCTAAAACTGTTCGGCAAATATCAAATGTGCTCTGCGTATGACATGTCCGAGCTGTTCAAAACGATAGATGGAAAAATAAAGATTCGCCTATAACTTAGGCAATCAGATAAACGAATCAACGAAATTGTAAATATCAGGAGAAATTGTTAGAAAAATATCAGCAACTTCCCAAATAAAATAACTGAATTGAAGGAGGGTGTGCCACCTTAAGTTCAAAAATCACGAAAACCCTAAGGAAATGATCATCTATAAAAAACAGAGGAATTCGAAGTAAAAAGTACGCTGAATTCTCTTGGTCTTCTTTCATTCAGTTCAGTATCTTTACTGACTTAAGCATCAGAGTACCTTTGATCAAACCACTTTGATCTTGTGCAATTTGTTCATTTTGTAGGAAGAGAAAGACTGGAAGATCAAGTTTAGAAACACATCAATTTTTTCAATTCCAGTGGAGATATTCTCAAATTTTTGTCTCTTACAGTAATAATACAACTATTGTTATATCCAACAAAGACTTCCCCTTTGAAGACATGTTTGGTACAGCTTTAACGAATTTAATTGGTTTTAACTTGAAAACCATAAGCTACTACAGTGACAAAAAGCATTACTTAGTTCAAGCACTGATCCAACAAGAATTTTGAAATTATTATTTTTTACTCTTCGTTTCATCCTGCAATGGTTCAAACAGGAGAAGATGCAACTCTCCTCAATGCAGAATTATTGAATTATAACAAGTTAACAATTGATGTCAAGATGGCTTTTCCCCCAAAGCTCATTGCAGATGACACAATGCGCCAACCATATCAAATGAATCCTCAACATGAAGCTAGAATTTTTGCACGCGGACCAGGGCTCCTTGTCTCATACCAGATTTGAGCATTGCCTCTAGAACAGCAACATCACGCACGCCTTCTAGAAAAGAGCAACGTGGTTCGGCTTCATAGCTACCATCCTTCTGCACACAATAAATAAAGAGGATCAGTGGACATAAGTCAATAACAAAAGTCAGTAAGTTCCACCATAAGAGATGCAGTGTGCCCTAAACACAGCTGGGTAAAAATTTTAGTTTCTTCAAAAAAAAATTTGGCTTTTTTTTTAAAACTTTAGGAGACCAATAACATCAAGTTCCAGAACTGAATTAAGTGAATGGAAGCTAGTACACCAAATAATCCAATAAATGATTTGGTCACAGGGTTAAACATGATATAAAAGAAAAATTCCACAATACTGGATGAACATGATAGTCCTGCAATAAGTGTCTACGCAAGGTACCATCATATAGAAGTAAGTTTATGGGATAAGATGGGGTGAGTAACAATAAACAATATATGGACCATTTTATAGTCAGTCAAGCTACCTAAAGTTGTCTAAATTGTTGAATATTTGATATAGGAGTCTCTATCATTTACAAAATAGACACCCCAAAACCACTTCCTACACGATATGGCTGGGAGATGAAAACAGCAGATAAATAAATGAAAATTTGTCAAAGCTTCAAATTTTATACTACCTTAAGGGTGGCTTGTGAAATATCATGTAGAAAAGTTTTTAATTCTTCAGTCACCCCACTGAATTGGTAGAAGAAGCTCCTGCTTTGGCCATCAGCAGCATAAAGGGAAGCCTGTGATAGCATCATGAGATAAACAGAAGATTGTTATTTCTTGCAGATTAAATCGGAAGGAAATTTTGTTCCTAAAGTAACAAGTTCTCAAGCAAATTAGGAACTTGGGAAATCTACAATTATTAGTTAAGGATTGTCACATAAATTCCATGAACAAGAGTTGTCTTTTAATACCGAGTATCCATGTCTTCCATCTTTGTGTCCACGCTCAATTTGTAGCGTACCGTTAAGGCCAACGAAACGCCAAAGTATCTAAATTTACCAAGCAACATAAGTGATTAAAGTAGGATGATCCAATGAAGAAGTTTTTTGAAGTGAAAGTCACTAAATCACATGCCTTGGGTGCTCTTGAGTTTACCACCATCGCAAAGACTCCAGAACAACCATTCTCTAGTTGACTAAAGAGACAAGGAAATTCCAAATTCAAACTTCAGCATAAATTCTATAAACAAGAATAGTCAGACAATCAACTTCAAGCTTCTGAAACTTACAAAACTGCAGAGATGTTATCTGGCGGAGGCAAAGTTGAATCTACATGAGAGGTCATAGCGGACACTGATGTTACCTCACATCCAACAAGCTGTTCATGCAGACAGGAATATCCATATTAAAATCGAAACTAGGGCCAACATCATGTGTCCTTCAAAAAGAGTGTTATTTTTTATTCAGATCCAAACTCATCGCTTTATGCTCCAAGACTATGATGCTCTAATTGCACAAAGGAATATTTTTGGGGCTTTTTGGGAGAAAGAGAAATAAGGCAAGGTGCATCAAAATCATTTGGATGTCCAACCAGAGATGAACCATGATTTTTTCTTTTACATATTTACTGTATTTTATCTCTGAGAAAACACAATTCAAGAGTAATAGGAATCCCCATCTATTTTCTGCAAGGTATTGTAGTTACTTGTTTCCAGATTTTAATGAATTAGACCAACACTGAGGGAACCAAAAAAGTCAGTAACTATAAAAGTAAATGCATATTAACTGTTTTCGAGGCAATAGGCCATCAAGATACCCCATCAAAACTCTCATCGCTTTAGCACTAAACTCCACACTTACCTAATCTCCCTTGGAAGCAGGACCTGGCACTAAGTTTTAGTAGCTTCCCTGTTGACTGAAGGCATTTCCATCTGTTAAGTTTGGAAGATTAACATAATGATATTAGAGACAATATTTTGAGAGAAACAGTGAGAGGTGAGGTTAAGAACTTAACCTAACTCTCATACATAACTTGTATTTATAGTTAACTTACAATAATAATAATAACACATACATCCTCTTACTATTAACAATTTACACATACTACTCTATTATTCTTAACACTCCCCCTCAAGCTGGACTATATATATCATATAATCCAAGCTTGGAACAAATAGCTGTAAGACGCGTACGACTCAATGTTTTGGTAAACATATCTGCAAGCTGATCTTCAGATTTCACAAATGGAGTTGTAATCTCCCCAGTTACTATCTCGTCCTGAATAAAGTGACAGTCAACCTCAATATGCTTGGTTCTCTCATGAAACACAGGATTGGCAGCGATATGGATAGCTGTCTGGTTGTCACAGAACAACTGTAAAGGAAGTTGAACTGGAAACCCAATTTCCTGGAGGAAGTGTAGTAGCCAAGTCAACTCACTCGTCGTATGTGTCATTGCCCTATACTCAGCCTCAGCACTGGATCTTGCTACCACAGATTGTTTCTTACTTTTTCATGAGACAACATTACCTCCTAGGAAAGTACAATAACCAGTGGTTGATCTCCGATCAGAAGGAGAGCCAGCCCAATCAGCATCTGAGAAACCTTCCACTCTAAGATGTCCATTAGCTCGATATAACAGTCCAAGTCCAGGAGCTCGTTTGAGATGTCGCAGAATACGAGTAACTGCCTCCTAATGTGGTACTCTAGGACATCCCATTAACTGACTTACTATACTGACTGCATAGGAAATATCCGGTCGAGTAATAGTGAGATAATTAAGCTTCCCAACCAATCTACGATACCGACCCGGATTCTCAAACAATACACCATCATCCATCAATAATTTTTGATTCGGATCCATAGGGACATCAATCGGTCTACCACCCAGCAAACCTGCTTCCTCAAGCATGTCAAGTACATATTTTCTCTGAGATAAATAAATACTTTGTTTAGATCGAGCCACCTCAATACCCAAAAAATATCTAAGTTTTCCCAAATTTTTAGTATGAAATCGATCCTGTAAAAATAATTTTAACTTGACAATCCCCTCAGAATCATTTCCAGTAATCACAATATCATCGACATAGACCACTAATAGGACATACCCAGCATCTGTGTGCCTATGAAACACAGAATGATCTGTTTGACATCGAAGAAGACCAAACTCTAAAACTGCATTTGAAAACTTACCAAACCATGCCCTCGGTGACTACTTTAAACCATACAAAGATTTTTTTAACCGACATACACTCTCACTTTTACCATACTCCCCTGAACAGTAAACCCAGGTGGCTGCTCCATGTAGACCTCTTCAACCAAATCACCATGTAAGAAGGCATTCTTGACATCTAATTGAAACAAGGGCCAGTCAAGATTAGTAGCCAAAGAAATCAAGAGACGAACAGATGAAATTTTGGCAACAGGAGAAAAAGTCTCCTCATAATCAACACCATAAGTCTGAGTAAAGCCCTTTGCAACAAGCCGGGCTTTGAGACGCTCCACAGAACCATCTGGATGAAATTTAACAGTATTTACCCAACGACATCCAACAGTTCGTTTACCAGAGGGTAAAGGGACGAGATCCCAAGTCCCATTATGATGTAAGGCATCCATCTCCTCCTCCATAGCTTTCCTCTAACCCGGATCAGATAATGCATCCTGTAAATGCTTAGGAATAGATATAGCAGATAATTGGGAAGTAAAACAGGAGAAGACAGGTGAAAAGGCATCATATGAAACAAAATGAGAAATAGGATGATTAGTAACACACGAACGAGTACCTTTGCGAAGGGCAATAAGTAAAGAATCTAAATTACCTGATGTTCCTGGATCAGAAGGCGACAAGGAAGACGGTACAGGCAATTCAGTCAATGGGCGAGGACGGCGAGAATAGACACGGAGAGGTAAAGTAAATGGTAACACAGTGGGCAGCGGAATATCTGATGGTGGTACAGGAGAGGAGCCAAAGTCCAGATCCAAAGGCTGAGATGGTGCTGGAAAGTATGGAACAGATTCTTCAAATGTGACATCCGCACTAGTAAAATATCGGTGCAGAGAAGGACTGTAACAACGATACCCCTTCTATGTGCGGGAGTAACCAAGAAAACACATTTGGTAGCACGAGGATCAAGTTTTAACTTCAGGACCCAAATTATGAACATAACAGACACAACCAAAAACCTTAGGAGAAAGGGAAAATAAGAGCTTACTAGGAAACAGAATAGAATATGGACTTTGTCCATTTAACACAGAGGAGGGCATACGATTAATAAGATGACAAGTAGTAAGAACAGCATCACTCCAATGATATCGGAGAACATTCATCTGGAATAACAAGGCACGGGTGACTTCCAAAAATGACGGTTCTTGCGTTCAGCAACATCATTTTGTGGAGAAGTGTAAGCACAAGAAGTCTGATGAAAAATGTCAATTTTACTAAGATAGCTGAAAAAAGATCAGATTCATATTCACGAGCATTATCGGAACGTAAAGTATGTATATGACAACCAAACTGAGTTTTTATTTCTTTACGAAAAGTCTCAAATATAGAGAATAATTCGGACCGAGCTTTCATCAAAAATAACCAAGTCACACGAGAATAGTCATCCACAAATGTCACAAAATAAGGATATTTATTAGACGAAATATTCTTTATTAGACCCATACATCAGAATGGACTAATTCAAATGGACTAGACACATGATTATTGACTCTAGACTGAAATGACACACGGTGATGCTTATTAAGTTGACAAGCTTCACAAGACAAAGACGACACATAACTAAGACTGGGAACTTGACGCTTTAGATTCTGGAGAAAGGATGTCCAAGACGACAATGCCATTGAAAAGAAGACAACGAGGTCTGTAAAGCTCGAGTAGATGAATCAAAGTCAAGGTAATATAGGCCACCAGCTTCATGCCCCATACCAATTTTCCTCTTCGTCTTGAGATCCTGAAAGACACAATAAGAGGGATAAAAAATTACAGAACAGTTGAGAGAACAGGTAATCTTGCTAATGAAAGTAAAC